TCTGTCTCTCATTCTCTCTCTCTCTCAAATAAATAAGTAAAATCTTAAAAAAAATAAAATAAAATAAACTACTGATCAGAAAACCATGGAAGGCATGGGAGTAATTAATACACGTGAGGATGCTGATGATTTTGTCTTTGTTAGAAAATTAAGTTAAATGTTTATTATTCACAAAGTGAGGATGGGAGGTGGGTATTGAGCCAGTTTAGGGACTGCTGTGGACAACGAAGTGAAACCTGGCTACTGTTACACCCATTCACCAGGACTGCAGACTGAGTCTGAGGAGTGCCCCCAATTAAAGAGAGGGAAGGAAGAAAACTCAACCAAGAAACACCTATATAAGAATCTGGCCTGGGGCATAGGGTGGCAAAAAGGTCAACCAGGTCTAGCCTTAGATCTGTCTGTAAGTATGTTGTAGTGGGTAAGGTCTTTACTGCTCTTGTCTGTAATAAAATTTAAAAATAAAATGAGATAAAAAAAATAAAGTAAAATCAATAAAAGCAAAATGAAAGAAGCAATAAAAATAACTACCGTACTTGTCACATGCACACTGCTACACATCATCTCACAAGTTCCCATAATAATCCAGAGAAGTTATCCCTTTGAAAACAAGGACCTGGGGCTCAGAGAGATCCAAAGAACGGCTCATGCCTGCCTAACAGCCAGGCAATGCCATAAATGCTCTTGTACAAATTAATTCACTTACTTCTCACTACAACTCTATGAAGTTGGGACTGTTATTATTCTCATTTTTTGGATAAGGAGACCGGTACAGAGAGGTTATGAAACTTGTCCAGGTCACACAGCTAAGCAGTCTACCTCCAGAGCACGGACTCCCAACCACCATGCAATTCTTCCTAAGGTCACACAGCCACGGATAAAAGCCAGAACGAGGATTCAGACCCCAGCTGAATAATTCTAAACCTCTAAAGCATAACCCTTTCCACTAGATCAGAAGAGAAAAACAGGCAGCCAGTGGTCCAAACTCAGTGATCTTAGAAATCAGGAAATTTTATCTTAAAATCCTGCATTGTAACTTCTCCTGAAAAATTGGGAGTTCTCAACTCTAGGTTCAGACACCCACATGGTAACAACTGGCTGGCACTGAGCAGGGGCCCCTCCCATGAGATGGGACCTGGATGCTCTGGTTCACCATAGTCCCCACCACTCCCGCCTGCCCCACACTAGCCAACTTCATCCATTTGCATCACTGGCCTGCCTCTGAAGATTCTGAGTTTGCTACCCCCTACACCTACAGGACAGCCCAAATTCCCTCTACCAAGGTCTATGATTCTACCATAAATACAATGATAAAAGAAGAACTCAAAAAACTCTTACAGAGGCCAAATAGAAGTTCCAAAAACTCTGGCTGTAAGTTCATAGGAAATCAAGAAATGAGGGATGTTGGGGATTGCTAGAATCAATGAAAAAGGAGGTATGTGAGTGGCCAGAGGCAGAAGGAAAAGAATAAGTGGGAATGTGTACTGAGGTTGCTTGAAGAGTGTTAAGCCACCATGGGCATATATGCAGAATGCAAATGTCTTGTGCTCCCATTTACCTGTTCGTAGTTTATGAACATGGCAGTGTCAAAACTGCTGGCTGCCCACTTGAGAAGGTTGGCCGACTGCTCCGGAGTCATGTAAACCAGCACACATTCAGTTACCAGGAGTGTTGGCAATCTTAAGAGAAGAAAAAAAGGCACATACATATGTATTCATCAAACTGGGACTCTCTAGGGATGCCTGGGTGGCTCAGTTGGGTAAGAACCTGGCTTAGGTCATGATCTCGGGGTAGTGAGATCAAGCCCTGCATCAGGCTCCCCACTCAGTAGGGAGTGTACTGGGATTTCCCCCTCCTTCTCCCTATGCTCCCCCCCACCACACATGCGCTCTCTCTCTCTCTCTCTCTCTCTCTCTCAAATAAATAAATAAATAAATGTCAAGTATACAGAAAAAAACTTGGAGCTCTCTAATGGCACACATGTGGCAGAACTGGCAGGGCAGGAAAACCCTATTTTTCACAGCCCAGGAAAACAAGACGCGCTGAACAAGCACATCAACAATCAATGTAGTAATAGATGTAGAATACCATCATGACCCAAAGTTTTAGACTGTAAAAAGGTGAGCAATGAGCAAGGATTTGTCTGGCTTGTGAAACAGTGTTAAAGGTGTGTGGTGGTGTGTAAACACGGCTACAAATTCTCCCCTTCCCCCACACCTGCCTCCAACCCCGCCCCCCAATAATCCAAGATGATGGAGGAGTAGGAGACCTTAGTTTCATCTGGTCCTAGGAATTCAGCTGGATATCTATCAAATCATTCTGAACACCTGCAAACTCAAACGGAGATCTAAGAAAAGAATAGATGAAACTCTACAAATAGAAAAGCTACCACTTTCTGCAAGGTAGGAGGTGTGCAGAAGTGAATCCAAGGCGGTGTATGGGAAGACAAACCATGGTGGGGGAGGGAGCCTCCATCAGCCGGCACTGGAAAGTGATAGAGTGGTGGAGCACAAAATCAGAACTTCTAGAAGTCTGCCCCTGTGAGTGACGCCCCTGCCTGAAAGGTGCTCAGGTGGTGAAGTGGGGCAGAATCCTAGGTGGGACAATGTGGTCTCAGGAGGTGCCTGAGTGTGGCAGAGCTCCCAGGCATCGGAGTGGGGAAGACGGCTGTAATCAGCAAGCCCAGGAGTGGGCTCTCAGCTCGGGGTTGCCATAAACTGTGAACCAAGGCACGGTCAGGTGACTGCTCTCGGACCAGGGGCCCAGCAAGTGGCAGAACCGCCACAAACCCCTCCTTCCTCCCCTGGGAGGAACGGCGCAGGTGCACACCGCAGGAGCTTGCAAGGTTTGGAGACTTGAAATGGGGTCACGTGCCTGAGATAGAAATGCTTGGTCACGGGCTGGATGAGCACAGAGTGTGGTTGGAGACCAGGGAGACAGGAGTGATTGCTTTTCTCTGATGGCTCACTGAGGAGTGGGGCCCTGAGCTTTGGGCTCCAGGGCCAGAGATTGGGAGGCCGCCATTTTCATTCTCATCCTCTAAAGCTGTGCAGAAAGCCTTCAGGGAACAAAAGCCACAGAGAGCAAACCCGAGCAGATTACTTAGCCTGGCCCCTGGCAAGGATGGTACAATTCTGCCCAGGGCAAAGACACCTGAGAATAATTGCAACAGTTTGCTCCCCTAGAATATCAGCAAGAACATCAGCTAAAACCAAATTTACAGATCATACAGAACTGCAAAACTCCAGCACTAGGGGAAATTAATATATAGAATTCATGGTTTTTCCCCCCACAATTCTTTAGTCTTTGAATTTTAATTTTTATTCTCTTTTCTTTCTCAACCAATTTTATAAACTCTTTTTTAAAATCTTTTTTAATTTCCATTTTTACACTTACATTCTATCCTTTCATTGTATTTAACTTTACTTTTGTGTGTGTGTGTGTGTGTATATATATATATTTGTGTGTGTATATTTCTATATATTTGTGTGTGTGTATATATATATATGTTTATCTTTCTTTACAATTTTGGGATGCTGTTTCTTCTAAGAAACAGACCAAAATATACCCAGGATCTAGTGTATTGATCTGTTCCTTTCACCTCTCTGATAATATTCTCTCTCCTTTTCTTCTTCTTTCTTTTCTTGTTAATTTTCTCTTTAATTTTCATCTTCACAGTTACATTCTATCCTTTCAATGTATTTTATTTTATTTATTTATTTTATATATATACATATATACACATTTTTCTTTCTTTACAATTTTGGGATGTAGTTTCTTTTTTTTTTTAAGATTTTATTTATTTATTTGACACAGAGAGAGACAGTGAGAGAGGGAACACAAGCAGGGGGAGCGGGAAAGGGAGAAGCAGGCTCCCCATGGGGCAGGGAGCCTGATGCGGGGCTCGATCCCAGGACCCTGAGATCATGACCTGAGCCGAAGGCAGACGCTTAACGTCTGAGCCACCCAGGCGCCCCTGGGATGTAGTTTCTTTAACAAATAGACCAAAGTACACTCAGGATATATGTATTGCTCTGTTCTGTTCACCTGTCTGATTATATTCTTTTTTTTAATTAAATTTTTTTTTTTTTTTTTTTTTTGGTTTAAGGTCTCTCCTAATTTGTATAGTGTATATTTCTCTGGGGTCATTGTTGCCATTTTAATATTTGGTTCTCTTGTTCATCTATTCTTCTCTGGACAGAATGACAAGAGAGAAAAACTCATCTCAAAAAAGAGAACAAGAATACTGACTGCCAGGGACCTAAGCAGTATGGATATAGGTAAGATGTCAGAACTAGAGTTCAGAATAATGATTATAAAGATACTAGCTGGGCTTGAAAAAAGCATAGAAGACACTAGAGAATCCCTTTCTGGAGAAATAAAAGAATTAAAATCTAATCAAGTCAAAATAAAAAAGGCTATTAATGAGATGCAATAAAAAAAAGAAGGCTCTAACTGCTAGGATAAATGAAGCAGAAGAGAGAATTAGTGATATAGAAGACAAAATGATGGAAAATAAAGAAGCTGAGAAAAAGAGAGATAAACTACTGGATCACAAGGGCAGAATTTGAGAGATAAGTGATACCATAAAGTGAAACAATATTAGAATAATTGGGATCTCAGAAGAAGAGGAAAGAGAGGGGGCAGAAGGTATACTGGAGCAAATTATAGCAGAGAACTTCCCTAATCTGGGGAAGGAAACAGGCATCCAAGTCCAGAAGGCACAGAGAACCCCCACTGAAAACCAATAAAAATAGGTCAACAGCCCAACATACAATAGTGAAGCTTGCAAATCTCAGAGACAAAGAGAAAATCCTGAAAGCAGCTCAGGACAAGAGGTCCATAACCTACAAGGGTAAAAACATTAGACTGGCAGCAGACCTATCCACAGAGACCTGGCAGGCCAGAAAGGACTGACATGATATATTCAGGGTGCTCAATGAGAAAAATATATAGCCAAGAATACTTTACCCAGCAAGGATGTCATTCAAAATAGAAGGAGAGATAAAAAGCTTCCAGGACAAAAAGAAATTTAAAGAATTTGTGATCACTAAACCAGCCCTGCAAGAAATATTAAAAGGGATCCTTTAAGTGAAGAGAGAGCCCAAAAGTAACATAGACCAGAAAGGAACAGAGACATTTTACAGAAACAGTGACTTTACAGGTAATACAATGGCACTAAATTCATATGTTTCAATAGTTACTCTGAATGAAAATGGGCTAAATGCCCCAATCAAAAGACACAGGGTATCAGATTGGATAAAAAAGCAAGATCCATCAATATGCTGTCTGCAAGAGACTCATTTGAGACCCAGAGACACCTCCGGATTGAAAGTGAGGGGGTGGAAAACCATTTATCATGCTAATGGACATCAAGAGAAAGCTGGGATAGCAATCCCTGTATCAGACCAATTAGATTTCAAACCAAAGACTGTAACAATAGATGAGGAAGGACACTATATCATAATTAAAGGGTCTATCCAATAAAAAGATCTAACAATTATAAATATTTATGCCCCTAACATGGGAGCAGCCAATTATATAAACCAATTAATAACAAAATTAAAGAAACACATTGATAACAATACAATAATTGTAGGGGACTTTAACACCCCACTCACTGCAATGGACAGATCATCTAAGCAGAAGATCAACAAGGAAACAAGGGCTTTGAATGACACACTGGACCAGATGGACCTCATAGATACATTCAGAGCAACAGAATACACATTCTCCTCAAGTGCATATGGAACATTCTCCAGAAGAGATCACATACTGGGTCACAAATCAGGTCTCAACTGGTACCAAAAGACTGGGATCATTCCCTGCATATTTTCAGACCACAATGCTGTGAAACTGGAACTCGAGGAAATTTGGAAAGAACTCAAATACATGGAGGCTAAAGAGCATCCTACTAAAGAATGAATGGGTCAACCAGAAAATTAAAGAAGAATTAAAATAATTCTTGGAAGGAAATGAAAATTAAAACACAACTGTTCAGAAACTTTGGGATGCAGCAAAGAGAGGGAAGTATATAGCAATACAAGCCTTTCTCAAGAAATAAGAAAGGTCTCAAATACACAATCTAACCTTACACCTAAAGGAGCTGGAGAAAACAGCAAATAAAGCCCATAATGAAGATTAGAGCAGAACTCAATGAAATAGAAACCAAAAGAACAGTAGAACAGATCAACAAAATTAGGAACTGGTTCTTTGAAAGAATTAGTAAGATTGATAACCCCCTGGCCAGACTTACCAAAAAGAAAAGAGAAAGGGTCCAAATAAGTAAAATCATGAATGAAAGAGGACAGATCACAACCAATACCAAAGAAAACTATATGCCAACAAATTAGGCAATCTGGAAGAAATGGATGCATTCCTAGAGATGTATACACTACCAAAACTGAAACAGGAAGAAATAGAAAACCTGAACAGACCTATTACCAACAAGGAAATTGAAGCAGTAATCAAAAATCTCCCAACAAACAAGAACCCAGGGCCGGATGGCTTCCCAGGGGAATTCTACCAAACATTTAAAGAATTAATACCTATTCTTCTGAAACTGTTTCAAAAACTAGAAATGGAAGGAAAACTTCCAAACTCTTTTTATGAGGCCAGCATTACTTTGATCCCAAAACTAGACAAAGACCCCACCAAAAAGAATTACAGAGCAATATCC